AGCCACAGCGCCCACTTCCAGCTTTTTCTTTTTGCTTATGTGGTACTGAGGAATCGAACCCAGGGCCTTGAGCATGCAAGGCAAACGCTCTACCACTGAGCCACCTTCCCAGCCCCATAGCTGAAAAATTCTTAAATCTACCTACAGTGAACTGGTTTCAGAACCAACTCTCCTTAACATGAACAACCACCACAAAAGGCAGCCAGGAAGCAGAAACCAGAACGCATCCATCCAGCGGTCTCAACAGGCTGAGGAGAGAAAAGGGGAATACAGGACCAGCCCAGGAAGAAAGTCCTGGAAAACACTGCTTTCATGGGGCCCCAGAGTTGTATCAGTGAGCAGGGGTAAAAGTTCAACTCTGTCAAGCACCCAAGGTATGTCCCTCAGATTTCCCTCCTGAGAAACTGATACAGACAACCATGGAGGACAACAGCCCCCCATTTCACCCTCTACCTTCCAGACCCCCACTGTGTTCACACTGAGGTCATACTCCCCCCTGCTGCCCAAAGCTGGGGTTCCTTACTGGCTCAGCAGATGTCCTTACATCTGTACTGAGGTTGGAGGTCACAAAGTCCGCTCTCATTAGGGTGCTATCTATCCTTCTATCTAACTATAAATGTAAGGAAGTGAGACACACTTTTTTCATGTGGAGATTGGTTTGATTAAAATGATAAGATTATTATGCTTAAGCCCAATGCACTGACTTATGCCTATAATCCTAGCTATTCAGGAGACTAAGATCTGAGGATCATGGTTCAAAGCCAGCCCTGTGAAGGAAAGTCCGTGAGACTTTTATCTCCAATTAACCACCAGAAAACCGGAAATGGTGCTATGGCTCAAGTGGTAGGGCGCTCGCCTTGAGCTGAAGACAGCAGCCAGGCCCAAAGTTCAAGACCCACAACTGACTATATATATGTTTAATCACAATTTCAAAACATATTGAATATACGCTGTAGTTACTACTGATTTTGTTCTATAAAAGTGTAACTAATTGGTAGAGGGATACTAAAGACAGAATTCACACCTTTGTGCTTAGTAGGCAGGAACTCTATGTATGACCTTGATTCTAGCCCTATGTTTACACTGGTTATTTTAAGACAAGGTCCTAATTTTTCGCCTGGATCTAGGCATGAACTGCAACCCTCCTATTTTATGCTTCCCACTGTAGCTAGAATGACAGGCACACCACTACAACACCTAGATTCTTCTGCTCAGATGGAAACTAGTGAATGTTATTGTCCAGGCTAGCCTTGAACCTCAGTCCTCCTCATCTCAGCCTTCTGAATAGCTAGGATTACAGGTGCAAGCCACTGACTAGCCCCTGGCTTATTCTCTGGGTCTTATCATTATAGGCTCCTGCTGCCAAATTATTTTTTAAGAGAATTATTTTTAAAACAAAATGAGAAAAAAAAACAAGGAAGGAGATTTGAAAATAGGTCAGTAGAAATAGAAAAGGCACAGTTACAGACTTAAAGAGTTAGACACACTGATTTGAAATTCCAGCTTTGCCATGTACTAGCCATGTGCTCTGAGCAAGTTACTTTATCTCTTCTATGTACAACATGGGATTATCTCATACCTGACAAGATTACAGTAAGAGCTAATATACTTTGATGTCAAATATATGTTACTGATACACCCGCCTTCTTTTCATTGAAAAGTTCAAGCAGCTCTCCTTCCAAGTAGATTACAAGTATAAATCAAATCTACTTGCAAACCTTTTCATCCCAGCTGAGAAGCACCATAAGCTAAACTGCACTTGGGGTAGTCACTTCACCACACTGGTGACTCTCTGGGAAAAGAGGAACAGTACTGAGGACTATCAAGTGAACACTGCTCCTTTTCTACTACTATGACTATGAGAGCATCTATCGCTGACCTCAGGACAAACAGGATGTTAATTTCTTAGGATACAACCATAACTAATCATATTCAATTAAACATGTTCAAATCTGAATTCATAGTCCATCTTTGATAATGGTATAATATCTACTGCATAAATCTGTGTAGATGGGGCTGGGAAGGTGGCTCAGTGGTAGAGCGCTTGCCTTGCATGCCTGAGGCCCTGGGTTTGATTCCTCAGCACCACATAGGCAAAAAGAAAAAAGCCAGAAGTGGCGCTGTGGCTCAAGTGGTAGAGTGCTAGCCTTGAGCTGAAGAGCTGAGGGACAGCGTACAGGCCCAGAGTTCAGGCCCCCATGAATGGACCCAAAAAATAAATAATAACTATGTATAGGATCAACTGGATAAATCTATGTATATTAAGTGTCCTGTTGGGCTTTTTTGGGGAGAGGAGACAGGGGAGGGGGGTCCAGTCCTTGGGCTTGAACTCAGGGACTTGGCTTTGTCCCTGAGCTTTTTTGCTCAAACTATTAACACTCCACCACTTGAGTCATAGCATTACTTCTGGCTGCTTAGTGATTCATTGGAAATAAGAATCTCATAGACTTTCTTGGCTGGAACCATGATCCTCAGATCTCAGCCTCCTAAGTAGCTAGGAGTACAGGCATGAGCCATTGGTACGCAGCTCTGTCAATTCATTTTTATATCCTGAAGCTTTAACCAGATTTATCTTCCTATCTAATGTATATGTTTCTCTGTGTGAATAAAACTGTGTTCCAAATGATATTAGATATACATTAACAAATAAAATAGGTAAGTTATGATTTTCCTTAGCAGATACATCTTCAATCCCATTTTATGATTCTTCTTCAAATCTCTCTGAAAGATACAGCTCCTCTAGTTTTTGCTTACAGATGCTTAAGTTTACTCTTCCCACTCAAGAGCATATAACTACATTCAATTACTTCAGGAAGCTTCCTATGTGCTGACCTGCACACACATTTAGGACTTTTTCTTCTACATTTATTGAACATATTTCCCTATGGCAGGCATACAACTGCAGACCCTATGTGTCTGCTATTGCCCAGGCACCAGCTGGAGGATGATGGAAGGAGAGACAGGGCACCTGTATTTCCCTTCTTCTCTGATGTAAATTACCCATTGAAGGCCCTGAAGTCTATGTCTCAGCCACGCCAAAAATCATTTAGATCGAATCCTAAACCCTAGTGTGTAACACATGATGACAGAGGAGCTGTCACCTTCATAGGTGACAACTATAAACGGACCCTACCTAGCCCCATCCCCTCAGGTTATTTCTGATAGTGCTGAAAGAAACCATTTTCCTCTCATTTTAATCCTTAATATATAGCCTTACCAAGGCCTCACATCAGTCTGGTGAGATAAAGGACAATCACCAAGGTGAGTAAAAAACCAATCTGTAAAATATCCATGCAAATGAAACCACTCAGCAGACCTACACATACAAATCTTGATACCTAAATAATATTATGCCAGGAAAAAATCACAGAGAATGTACTGTATTGTTCCATTTATAAGAAATTCTAGAAGAGACTAAACTAACCTACACTGACAGAAAATAGATCAGTGAATTGCTAACACCAGCAGAGTTAATAAAGGAAGGGTGGAAAGATAATCTTTTATGTTATACCTGTTTTGGGAGCATGGTTCAAGGAATAGAGAACTTGCTTAGTAGGTACAAGGCCTTCAGTTCAAATCTCAGTATTGCAAAAGCAACAACAACAAACCACTCAAAAATGACCAACTGGTAAGACTTAAAAGAAATGCAAATACATTTGCTAAAGATACATACTTAAACTTCTACTAATGATGAGAAAACATTAGACAAACTCAACCTGAGGACATTCTACAAAAAAAAAAAAAATAATGTTTTTCAAAAATGTCAAGGCCACAAAATACAAACAAGAGAAAGGGGGAGGAGGGGAAGGAGGCAGGCAGGCAGACAGAGACACAGAGAGGAACTGTTACAGACTAGAGCTGACTAAGGGACTAGAACAACTGAATCTAACATGGAATTCTGGAAAGGCCAATAGAAAAATAGAAAAAAGCCCAGTGGAAAAAGCACTAAAATACAAATAAAGTATTCAGTTAAGGTAATAATCATACTTTCTTAGTTTTGTTCATTGTTTCATGGTTACATATACTTTTAAAATTGGGGAAGTTGAATGAATACATAGAAATGTTCAGGAGCACTTTTTCAACTTTTTTAAGTCTAAAATTTGCTAAAAACATTTTTTGATAGGAACTTTTTTGGGGGGGGGGGCGGGGGTCCGGGGTCCGATCGTGGGGCCTGAACTCTGGGCCTGGGCGCTGTTCCTCACCTCTTCAGCTCAAGGCTAGCGCTCTACCACTTGAGCCACAGCGCCACTTCCGGCTTTTTTCTTTTTGCTTATGTAGTGCTGAGGAATCGAACCCAGGGCCTCATGCATGCAAGGCAAGCGCTCTACCACTGAGCCACCTTCCCAGCCCAGGAACTTTTTATAATTACATATAAACTTTAACTCATTACAGTTGATTTAAAAGTGAAATGGCTAAGAATGTGGCTTAGTGGTAGAGTGCTTGCCTAGCATGCATGAAGCCCTAGGTTCGATTCCTTAGTATCATATAAACAGAAAAGGCTGGAAATGCTGTTGTGGCTCAAGTGGTAGAATGCTAGCCTTGAGCAAAAGAAACTCAGGGACAGTGCCCAGGCCCTGACTGCAAGCCCCAGGACTGACCCCCAAAAAAAAGGTGAAAAAAAATAAACCATAAAAATTCTATTTCAAGCTTTTTATTTTTAAGCTCTTTAAATAATTTAAATCAACAGAACCCAAATCCTGGTAAGATACAAAACATCCCTTACCTAAAACAATGACTAAATTTAGAAAAGTTAAATTGAAATCAAAATCTCAGACATGTTCCTTAAAATTATGATATAAATAACAAAGTTATTATATGAACAAATTGTAATGAGGCTATGGAATTCATAAACTGATGTCTAACGTAAAAAAACTATCTTTATGATTCTCACACTTAAGAATTGTTATCCAGTTGAACTTCAAAAACTATTATCTCAGTTATTAAAGATCAGAAATATATGGGCAAGCTTTCAGAAAAAAGTAAGAATTTTTATAGCATACCTCCTCTGTTTCCATTTTCTTCATCCTACAAAATAAAACAAAATATGCACTAGTAAGTACATGTTATACACTCTTGTCAGATCAAAGCATGGCTCAATTTAATCTAAAGCGACCTCCCTAATATGTGCCAATTATAATTTCACTAATAGTGTCTTTTGCCAGAGGGTAGAGTTGTCACCAAAGAAGAAAAGTTTGTGGATGAAGTCAATTTGGGGAAGGACATCAAGAGTTTGATTTTGACATGTAGACTGTGAAGTGTCTAGCAGAAAGATCAAGTAGAATTGCCAAATAAATAGTTGGATAGATGAAACTAGAATTTGGAAGCAAGGGTTGTATAGTGCATCTAAATGTGCCAAATTCAACTGGACCAAGAACTCTATATAAAGAGACCGCTTCCAAATTGAACATATTTAAGTTCCTGTACTCAATGAGAAGTTTGGTCTCTTTGCCACACTGTTATCTACAATGAAAAGCAGCTTATAAAAACTATATAAAAATATCCTTCCCAGGCACCGGTGGCTCATGCCTGCAATTCTACCTACTCAGAAGGCTGAGATCTGAGGATTGAAATTCAAAGCCAGCCCAGGCAGTAAAGTCCGTGAGACTCTTATCTCCAATTAACCACCGGAAAACCGAAAGTGGTGCTATAGCTCAAGTGGTAGAGTGCTTGCCTTGAGCTGAAGAGCTCAGGGACAGAGTTCAAGCCCCACGACCAACAACAACAAAAATCCTCATTCAATTTAATGCATTTGGGAGGCAAAGACATTTGCTGAGCCTCTATCATATGGAAGCTTCTATAGTAAGAAAAACAGAGATTTGGCTACAGGCTGATTATTTATTACACAACTTTGACCTTTATTTTGGCTGCCCAAATGTTGTTTTCTTCTTCTGACTATAAGCTCTGTTCTGAGACTAGTAAGGCTGCCAGCTAAGTGGCATAATAAAGACATTGTTGTATTAATTACACATTTCCTAAAAGCTACAAAAATATTAAAAATTGTTTTAACTTCATCTGAGGCTGGATATGTAGCTGTAGCTTAGAGGTAGAGCACTTGCCTAACATGTAGCTTGTACAAGGCTCTGACTTCAATCCTCAGTATACCACAAAAAACATTCCTTGAAGTGTATTAACTAAATCTCAAAATAGAAAGAAGCTAGGCACTTGTGGCTTGTACCTAAAATCTTAACCACTTTAGAGGTAGAGATTTAAAGGATCATGGTGGTTCCAGGATAGCCCAGGCAAAAAGTTCACAAGACCCCATCTCAGCAAGAAAAAACTGATGTGATGGTATATTCTTGCCATCCCAGCTATGGCAGGAAGCATAAACAAAGAGGATAATGGTCCAGGATGGTCTGGCAAAAAGACCTTAACTCAAAAATAACCAGAGCAAGCTGGGCACTAGTGACTCAGACCTGTAATTCTAGCTACTTAGGAGGTTGAGATCTGAGGATGGAGAATCAAAGTCAACCCAGGTAGGCATATCTGAAAGACTTTGTCTCTAATTAAGCAGCAAAAATCTGATAGTGGAGGCATTGCTCAAGTAAAAAAGTATTTGTGAGTAAAAGCAAAAAAAAAAAAAAAAAAAAGTGCACAAAGCCCCATTCTAGTCCCATTAACAACAGATACACACATAATTAGAGCAAACAGGGCCAGAGGCATAGCTCAAGCAATAGAACACCTGCTTAATAACAGAAAAGCCCTGAGTTCAAAACCTCAGTAATACCACTGAAAAGAGTTTCAAGATATATTTTCCAGAAAAAAATTCACAAGTGTAAGGTCTTAATTCAAGAATATCTGTACTAAACAACAACATTCATAGCTAAAATTTACTGAGCATCAACTTCTGTTCTAAATGTCTCATATGCACTATAGCACATAACCAACACACAGCCTGTGAGGACAGAGCTTTTAAGGCCTGCTGGGGGCCTATTCAAGGTCACAAAGCTAACAAGGAGCAGAGATGGAGCTCAAACAGATACTTCCAACTCCAATATCTCTGCTGCTAATAATAGTACTGTTATTGAAATTTCCAGAAATATTTTACAGTAGGAATATATTTTAATGTATATTTGGTAAAATTATCTTAAAAAACAGATTACCTATATATTCACCATGACCCAAAACCCTTATTCAAAACACACAAAAAAAAGGATCAACAGTATTCAGCTCTAATACACAATTAGTAAGTGCTCCAATATGTGACCCAATATGTAAGTAATACTATTTCAAGACTTTTAAGATCAAATGGATTCTAAGGGCATCTAGCCAGTAGTTTTACTGTCATTTCAGGAAATCCAAACTGGCAAATCTTAATTCCAAAGCTAGCAATTATTCATAATCCTTAAAAGCTACTCAGTCCTTTTAAAAGATTACCCTATGAGACATTTTACTGGAAAGACATATTTAACAAAAATGCAATAAAATGAATGTGGTTTCTAGCTACAACTAGACACTATTATTTTAAAGATAGCTATAGATTTATAAATATTGGCCAAGTTCAAATCCCAGATCCCTAGACTTAGGTATTACCTGACCACATCAGCATTCACATCTGTTATCTAGGATGAATAATTCCTCTTGCTCCATAGGCTACTGCTGTGGATACAGCGAGACAACACTCATAAAAAGTATTAATGCACGGAAAGTGAGCACTCAGACCATCAACTGTAAGTGTTCCAAGCCACCCCTGATAAAACATCGTCCTACAAGTGATAGACAAGCTGTGTTGACAATTCTAACTTGCCATCATGTTACATTATTTGAAAGTTAAGAACTATTCTAATTCTATTGATTTTTGCCTAACATGAATAATTTTATTGTACATAGCCCACACAGAAAATTCTCTACCTTTCTCGCTCTAGAAAGGCAGTTACATACTAGAAAAAGCAGAATGAACTATAGAAGTCCTTGAAGGGGCTGGGAAAGTGGCTCAGTGGTAGAGCGCTTGCCTTGCATGTCTGAGGCCCTGGGTTCGATTCCTCAGCACCACATAAGCAAAAAGAAAAAAGCCGGAAGTGGCGCTATGGCTCAAGTGGTAGAGCACTAGCCCTGAGCTGAAGAGCTGAGGGACAGCGCCCAGGCCCAGAGTTCAGGCCCCACGACCAGACCCCCCTCCCCCAAAAAAAAAGAAGTCCTTGAAAAACCGATGTAGTAAGATAGTTCAGAGAAGATTAAAAGATTTTGTTCTAAGAAGTGGACAAATGCCTAAGACAACAAAAATACAAATATAATAATCACTTTAAGATAGAAAACTGGCAGGTGGGAAGGGTGACAGAAGACCAGAATAGGACTGGAATTGCTTTATTTTTTTCAAGTTATTATATTTCTCTTACCTTACATGCAAATTGAATTGCAGACTCTGGAGGATAAACAATAAAATGCCTTAATGTAAAACCAAAGCCTTGAGATGTTCTCTTCAATAAAACTGTCTTGGGACCTGGCCAGGAAAATGGTTCATCTTCAGATGGTGATACAATTTCACTTTGTTCTTTTCCATCTTTATTTTTTGATGCCTAAAATGAAAAGATATTTAAAAGTTAACTACAAAACACAACGTATTTCTTCACTTAGAAAAAAATATGTAAAAACATAATATTGGAGAATAGATACAAACTTAATGGTGAAAAAAATAAATATAAAAATTATGCATTTTTATGTGTGGATTAGATATATCACAACAAACCATGCAATCATCCAAAACTAAAGTATTAAGCCAGGCAAGGTGCTATACAGCTGTAATCCTAGCACTTGAGGTAGGCTGAGACAGGAAAAGCCTAAGTTCAAGACCAGCCTGGGCTACATAGTGAATTTACAGTCTATATAGCAAGACCCTATCTTAAAAAGCAAAACAAAAGAAACAAAAAAAAACCTTTTTTTTTTCCTAGAAAACTTAATCAGAAGCAAAACAGAATCCCTGGAAATTAAAAATCCAAAGGCTAAAATTAAGAATGTAATAGAAGGAGTGAGAGATGACACTAAAGAAATTTCTTAGTGTACGCAAGTTTAACAAGCACAAATATGAGAGAGATGTGGAACACTTACTAATAAACAAGATGCCTAAGCCTTATCATATAGCAACAAATATTAGAAAGTAACACAAAAGGCCTTGGTTTCTAAGCACAAATTCCATTCTAACACAGATAATCCTTCCTTGTAACACCTTGACCCTTCAAGTTCCCTGACCTCTCCTCCACACTTCAGTTTTTGCCTACCCAAGACTAAAAACCCTTTTACAAATTCAGAATAAGGAGACTATTTAGGGTCTGACTTTTTGGTTCATTCCCTTTAATATCCCAAGCCTTTGCAATTCTTCAGTATGGGTTGGACCCTTAACATTCCCCTTTGGTCCCTTCTCCCCAACCCCAAGCTCTCAGGACCCTCTTAAGTCATTTTAAATTCACTCTTTTCCATAAAGTCATCTGACAAAACCTAATCATACCTATTATCTAGCCTCAGTGAATATAATGGAGAAAAATCATAAAGTAAGCTGACTTCATTTTAAGGTCATGATTACTAATCTCAAGAGAGGTTAGTTAGTATTGTCCATCACTGATAATGTCTGGTCTACTCATCCAATAGCTATTTCATTCTTTCTCTCCTATCCTTGCTTGTAGCAGAAGACTCTGCTTTGTATTATATTAAGGAAACAGAATTCCATCTCCTGCTACCTTTACCTAACCTATTTGCAATTGTGCCTGTGTTCTCCTATCTTCCTTCCTTATAAAAGGGATGGAGTGTCCATTCTTACAAGGCCTATTCATACAATGGCTCCCCTCTTCTTACTATTAACATACAGTGCCAGCAATTCTCCCATCTTTTTTTCACATCAGCTGTTCTTTACTGTACCACTCCTAATGGCATCCATACATTTTGTAATTTCTTTCCTCTTTACAACAAAATCCAATGGTGACTCTTTAGCTCTCTCTAGCTAGAGAGGGAGCTTGTTTGTTTCTCTTTCCAGCAAGGCTCCTTGAAGTTTATATTTATCATCTCCAGTTCTTTCCCTCCCATTTTGTCTTGAATGCCTTTAAAGCAAGCTTTGACCTCAAGAACCCTAAACCTTGGCCTTGTCAGTGTTAGCAGTGATTTCTACACTGTCAAGCTGAATGGTAAATTCTCATGTCTAATCTTACGTAGTTGGCTTAGGAATCACTTCTTTGAAAAAATGTTTGTCCTTGACTTCCCACACTGATTTTGTCTCCTCAGCTATCTCTTCATCTACTAAATTTCTGAACCTGGAAGTACTCAGGACTCAACTCACACAGTCCGTGGACTTCTCTACTTGTGCTGATTTCATTCAGTCTCATGCCTTAAATACCATTATATGCATGTGACTCCCAAGTATTTATCTCTAGCTCAAATACTTCCCCAATCACGGAGGTATCATAAACTTGAAACATCTGCATTGCTGATAAGATTTTAATTTACAACCATAAGTTCATTCCAGCATTTTAAAAATGCCATATTTATCAAACTGCTTCACGCTACTGAATTTTTATTATCTTCTGCCAGTAAGTCTATTCCCAACGATTTGCTTTGTATGAAGGTGGGAAGATAGCTAGACAGTAACATTTCCAGCCAAACTTGCAGTAGGAGGCTATATGATTGAGGAACTGGAACATGAAAATAATATACAATATACAAAATCTACAATAAGCAAACAGCAACAACCAACTGAAAATTTTAAAAGGTATATCATTTAAATAGCATTAAAATCTGAAATATTTAGTAATAAGTCTGGCAAATAATTTCACTTACTCTGCAAACTGAAACTCTAAAATACTGTTGAACTGTATACTAAAGAATAGATAAACAGCCAGGCGCCGGTGGCTCACGCCTGCAATCCTAGCTATTCAGGAGGCTGAGATCTGAGGATCATGGTTCAAAGCCAGCCCAGGCAGGAAACTCCATGAGACTCTTATCTCCAATAAACCACCAGAAAACCAGAAGTGGCGCTGTGGCTCAAGCGGTAGAGCACTCGCCTTGAGGTGAAGAGCACAGGGACAGCGCCCAGGCCCACAGTTCAAGCCCCACGACCGACAAAAAAAAAAGAATGGATACACTATGTTCATGGTTCAGAAGAATCAATATTATTAAAATGTTAACTATCTCAAATTTTTTGTATAGATTCAATGAAATCGTAATCAAAATCTCAGGACATTATTACGTAGAAGTTGCCATGTCATTTCTTAAAGTTCACTTTAAACTCTAAAATAGCCAAATAGAATGAAGTTGCAATATTACCAGTCTTCAAGATTCAGAACAGATAAAAAGTCCAGGTATCAAGTAACACCCATATAATGTACCAATTCTATTCCTAGGTATGTGAACATATGTCAATTTAGCACTGCTACAACACAAACACATAACCACAAATAGCCCTAGAAAAATTAACTATCCACATGCAGGAGAAAAATAAAAGTACTTTCATCTATAATTTCCATTATACATAAAATATATACATAAAATAAATATATATAACTATACATAAAATAAACTCAAATAATCACAAGCTTTTCAAAACTACTGGAAACAATACAGTGAAAATTGTTACAAACTCAAAGTTGGACTAAGATTTCTTGAATAGGACACTAAAGATAACAATCTAGTAGTTCTAAAAAGCTCCCCCTTCCAAAAAAAAAAGTGGAACATCATCAAAAATAAACTCTGCTCTTTGAAAGAAAAGAGAATAAAAAAGTGAGCAATCAAGCGGGAAGGTGTATCTGTAAATGACATGTCTCAAACAGGGTTTATTATTTAGACTACAAAAAGGGCTCTCAAAACTAAATAAAAAACAAAACCCAAAGAGGGGAGAATAAAGAGTAAATCTGAGCATACCTTAACCAAAGGAGCCACATGAATGAAAATAAGCATATAAAGGGATAGAAGATGTAAACTAAAACAGGAGAAACCTTACATACCTGTTAAAAGTGCTAACATGATAAAGACTAATTATATCAACTGTTGGACAGGATGCAAAGCCACTAAAACTCACAAACACTGCTAGTGGGAACTAAAATGGTATGAACATTCAGAAAAAGTCTTGTAGTTAATTAAATGTATCTACCATATGACATAGTCATCCTGCTCTGAGGTAAACAGCCAAGAAAAACTGAAAGTATATGTGAATCTAAAAACTTAAAAAGTTTCAGAGCAGCTTCATCTGTTACAGCCGTAAACTGAAAAGTATTCCAAGTGTTTTATCAACAAATACATAAATAAACTGGGATACAACCAAACCATACAAGCTTTCTTGCCAGTAAAATGAACTATTGATATATTTTAGCTATATATTAATTATCCTGAGGTAAAGAACCCAGGCCAAAAAGAGTACATGATGTATATTCTATTGACATACAATCCTAGAAAGTTTCCAAAGTTACCTGAAAGCTTACTAGTACTTGCTGGTAGGTAGAGGGAGGGACACTATCAGGAAATTTGGGGGCAGTGGTTAACTGTATTCTCTGCCTTTTTTTTTTTGTCATGGATACATACACATGCAAAAACTCATCAATGTATACAGTTCAGAAAGGAATAGTTCTATAGCAAATATATTCTTCAATGATGACATTTAAACAACAACAAAAAGAGGCAACAGAAGCAATGTGAGTGAGAAAGCAAGAGGCAGAAATCTGAAAGAAAGCCAGGCTTCAACATCTTTGCTGACACAGTTGTGATTTATGGAGAGTTCCTAAGAGTACTTTTTTAACTACATCCATGGAAGGTCAATTCACACTAGCTTTATTGTTTCATATGAATCAAATATTATAAAGTAATTCTACACTTAACATTGCCAAAATAGTTTAATACCATTTTCCACCTACCCTCATCCCTTAGAAATAAAAGGTTCTATTTTGACTGTCTTTTTAATCTGACTTTTTAGTTTAGCACCAGGGTTAAGAACACAGGATGCAGAGATGGGGAATCAGGCACTAATCCTGGCTCTGTCACTGTCTGATCATCCATGTAATAATACACCATCACTTAGCCCCTTAATGTTCTCATCTACATAATAAGAATAAAAGCGCTCTAAGAACTATTGTGTATTAAATGAGAAATGCACATATAATAGAGCACAGAAACATTTATATTAACTCCTTGCGCCTTTTCTGCAAACACCACAAAAATGTGCCATCTTCTTCAATTCTCTTCAAATTTCACTTTCCTGGAAGTTCTTTTAGTCACAATATTTTAAAATACTCATGTGTCAGATGCAGTTGGAAAGATCCATCAGAGCAAATAATGGAACTCTGGAGAAAATCTGGGCTAATAATCAAAAGGATAAGAAGAAACTGGTCAGCTAACTTTCTTCCTTATTTTCAGCTCTTTGCTGGAAACAAAACCTCTGGAGTTATCTCTGGAGGCTCTTTACATTGGAAACTAATTACTAGTTTAGTCATTCACATTCACTTAAATTCATCTTTTCTCAGAGCTTGAGAACTTCAAGTGCCTAACTGTATTTTATTTAATCACTAACCTAGTAAAGGACATGCAAGGGCTGGGGGTTACAGCT